AAAGGACGTTGCTCGTAAGTTTTTAATTTCAAAAGATAAAACACAAATTGGCGTTCCTAAAATACATTTAAACAATAGAAATCTAAAATAACGTTAGCAAAGCCTAAAAGCACCCTGGATTAGAGTTTTATGTTAGGCGCCAGACGACGCAACACTTCGAGGCAATATAAAAGTTACATACTCACACAAAGAACAAACCCAACAACTGGATTTGAGTTTTATGTTAGACGTCTGACGCAATACTTCGAGGCAGTATGAACCGTTGTACCCGCACAAAGGACAAATCCAGGTTTGCTAACAATATATGTAAAAAAATACATACCTTTTACTAAAGGACGTTGATTTTAGTTTAATTTCAAAAGATAAAACACAAATTGGCGTTCCTAAAGTACATTAGAAAACAATAGAAATCTAAAATAATGTTAGCAAAGATTCGTGCCGAGTCATAACCTAAGAGCACCCTGGATTAGAGTTTTATGTTAGGCGTCTGACGCAACACTTCGGCAGTATGAACCGTTATACCCACACAAAGGACAAATCCAGGTTTGCTAATAATATATGTAAAATAACATACCTTTTCACTAAGGACGTTAGCATAAGATAAGATAAATATCCTCCACAAAAATTCATACGCCTTGTCATATAATAAGTATTTAACGGCGTTCTTAAAGTACATTTAAAAGCTATTTTATATCTTTAGCAAAGTTAAAAGCGTCCTTGTTTCGAGTTTCATGTTAAGCGGCAATCTGACAAAGCAGGAAAGAAGGTTACTAAAAAAAAAAAAAAAAAAAAAAAAAAATGAAAAAATGATTTTTTTGGGTATTAAATATGATACGTTAATTTTTTTTTTTTTTTTTTTTTTTTTTTTTTTTTTAAGAATATCACTTTTTTTTTTGTTTTTTAATTTTTTTTTATTTATTATTTTTTAGAATTAATTCTTCAAATTTATAATAATATATTATGTAAACGGAAATATATAATAAAACATTTTTCTAACTTTATAAATGTTTAATTGAAATTAAATTAACCGATTTTAAGGCAGATTTCACTGATTTTGCCCAAATTTCCGATTAGCTGGTTTATGCTTAGCTTATTTGACACCTAAAAACTAACACCTAACCCTAATCCACATTATCACATATTTTTATTTTTTTGATCACAAACTTGATCACAATCATTTTGCAAGTAGTGTATAAAATATTCGATAAGCAACCCACCACGCGTGAAATATCAAAGTCATGATCACAAAGAATGTTAGGGAAGGTAAAAGCAAGATGTATATTAAAATTTATTAGAGGAAACATTTTTGAAATTTGGAAATTATATAATACAAAATACAAATAAAAATAATAAAAATACAAATATAAATACAATAAGCAGTATATCTCCTTCTTCTAAGTCGACCAGCGACTGCCGATAGGTCATCAAATAGATGATCACTATCGGTTATGAGTATCCCTGCTTGTTCGGCCGCTTTAACCGCGCCACTGGTAAATGAGTCTCGCGTCAACCCCACCACCACGCCGATCGTCCCCCTAGGCTCATTTGCTAACGCCCCTACCATCTCCCGGATCACGGCAGGCCCTGAGATATTTAGATATTTATTAAATGATATTCATTTAGATATAATTAATTTTC